AGGACAGGTCGATCCGGTTCTGTGTGGACTATCGGAAGCTCAATGCCATCACTGTAGCCGATACCTACCCCATGTCCAGGCCTGACGAGCTCCTAGACAAGCTGGGAGGCGCTCGGTACCTCACCACCATGGATCTTACAAAAGGCTACTGGCAAGTGCTGCTGGATGCAGAGGCCAGGCTGAAATCGGCCTTCATCACCCCTCTGGGGCTCTATGAGTTCCTGACCCTGCCTTTCGGCCTCAAGGCAGCGCCGGCCACCTTCCAGCGCCTGGTGGATCGGCTACTGAGGGGGATGGAGAGTTTTGCTGTGGCGTATATTGACGACATCTGTGTCTTTAGCCAGACCTGGGAGGGTCACATGTCCCAGGTTAGATGAGTGCTGGACCGACTCCAGGAGGCTGGGCTGACCGTAAAAGCTGAGAAGTACAAGGTGGGGACGGCTGAAGTATCCTACTTAGGTCACCGGGGGGGAGGGGGGGGAGAGCGGCTGCCTAAAGCCGGAACCAGCCAAAGTGGAGGTGATCAGAGACTGGCCTGCTCCGCAAACCAAAAAGCAGGTCTAGGCCTTTATTGGGATGGCAGGGTACTATCGAAGGTTCGTGCCCCACTTTAGCTCCATAGCCGCCCCCATCACTGAGCTGTGCAAGAAAGGGAAGCCAGACAAGGTGGTCTGGACCGAGGAGTGCCAGGAGGCTCTCCAGGAGCTGAAGGAGGCTCTGGTCAGTGGCCCAGTTCTGGCAAACCCAGACTTTGACAAGCCCTTTACGGTGTTCACCGACGCCTCAGACACGGGGCTGGGGGCGGTGTTAATGCAGGAGGATGAAAAGGGGGAGAGACACCCCATCGTGTACCTGAGCAAGAAGTTGCTACCCCGGGAGCAGAACTACGCGGCCATCGAGAAGGAATGCCTGGCCATGGTGTGGGCCCTCAAGAAACTAGAGCCATATCTCTTTGGGCGACACTTCACCGTGTACACCGACCACTCTCCCCTGACCTGGCTGCACCAGATGAAAGGAGCCAACGCCAAACTCCTGAGGTGGAGCCTGCTCCTGCAGGATTATGACATGGACGTGGTCCATGTGAAGGGAAGTGCCAACCTGATAGCGGATGCGTTGTCCCGGAGAGGGGGCCCTGAACTTCCCCAGGTCACTGGGCAGAGTGACCCCCCTCAGTTCAGTCTCGAAGGGGGGAGAGATGTGACGCAGTAGGGAGCGGGGTGGATTGAGCTGGGAATGTCATTTAGTTGTACTGGGACAGTCTGCATGGGGGATGGGAGAGCAGGGGGTGACTTGAGGGACGGTACCTGAGCCTGTAACCTGAGCGGGGGGGGGGGAAGGTGACAAAGGCTGGAGGAGGAGCCAGGGGAAGGCTGGGTGAGATGGCTGGAGGGGGGGTCTGGGGAAGCAGAGGGAACCCCATGGCTGGGGTCTAAGCTCCCTCCCCCCAAGGGACCTGGCTGAGGGGCCCTGGTTGTACCTACAAGCTCTGCTTTGACTGTGTTCCTGTTGTCTAATAAACCTTGTGTGTTACTGGCTGGCTGAGAGTCACAGTGAATCACAGGAAGTGGGGGGTGCAGGGCCCTGACTCCCCCACACTCCGTGGCAGGGGGCACCAGCCTAGAATTCCCCACGGCCCCAGCACGTGGGCCCTGGTTCGTCCCCTCCGTGGGAACACGTGGGGCCTCAGCTCCCATTGCAACAGGGCTGGTTCAGCCTCCAGCCCCACTCCCCCAGCAGCTGGCCCTGGCTACCTGGGAGGGCCCTGCCACACCCTGCGCCCAGCCCCCTTGCTCTGCTGTGAGCTGCCCGGCTGGAGCTGCTCCGGGCCAGGCGCCTCCTGCAGCTGAGCCGGGGGTCCCGGCTTGAATGACAATGCACCGTGGGGCAGGGCTGCAGGGTTTGACATCCCTGAATGCCCGGAGCCGGAGCCCAGGGTGGGACGCCAGGGCAGCTTGTCCCCAGCCCAGCCAGAGGGCCCTTCCCCTGGCCTGCAGCCACAGGGGCTGGCAGGAGCGGAGACAGGACACTGAGCCCCAGGGAGCCCACAGCAGAGCCAGCTGGGCCCCTCCCAGTGCTTGGCCCTGCCGTGTCCTGTCTGGGGAAAGCAGGAGCCCTGCGGCCCAGCCCCACCTCCCCTCTCCGCAGGAGCCTGCTGCCCCACCAAGTGGCTGCCCTGACCCCAGGGAGGCCTGGAGGATTCAGCCCGGGGGAACAACGAGCCCTGCCCCCAGCTCAGGAATGGCCACCCAGGGCGGGGGCAGCCCCCGGCCCGGCCCAGAGCTGGGCACCAGCCATCAGGGGCCTCTGCTCAGCCGCAGCCGCCAGCCTCAGGGGTGCCTGGCAGGAGACGCTCCCGGCTCTCAGCGATCCCACCGCTGCCAGAACAGGCTCCAGGCAACCCAACAGCCACGACCCTGCCCCGAGCCCGTGTTACGGGGCCAGGCCAGCCCCCCGCCCCTCACTCAGTACAGGGGCCCCCACCCGGGCACAGCTCCCACAGGGCAGCTTCCACTCCATTTATTTATTTAAAAAAAAAAAAAAATTCAGAACCCCCCCCATGCCCCAGCAGAGTGGAGGGGCCCAGCCCACAGCCCCCTCCCCACCAGTCCCCTGCAGGGTGCCCCACGCTGGGGGGGCCCAGCCCACAGCCCCATCCCCCCAAGCTCCGGCCCTGGCGGCCAAGGGGCTGGGATGCCTTGTGGGGCAGCTGCTATGGGGCCTACCCCCACCACAGGCTGGGACACCCCCCCATTACATCACACCGTGCCAGCCAATCAGCACACCCGTGTGGCAGCCCCTCCCAGCTCAGGGTGGTGCTGAGGGTCTGTGATCGAATGGCGCCGTCTCCTCCCGGGCTGGGCACGGGGCTGGGCACAGGGCAGTGCCCCCGCCCCTCAGCACTTCCGCCGGCCCCACTCCTCGTCGCTGACAAACACCAGGTTGCTCTGGCCACCCCCTGGCCGGGGGGCCGAGCCGGGCGAGCTCTGGGAGCCCTGGAACGTCTTCATGCGGGGCCCGGTGGCCAGCACCCGCCCAGCTCCCTGCAGCCACGACAGAAGGAGGCATCAGGCCCTGCCCTGAGTGGGCCCCTGCCCCGAGTGGGCCCCTGCCCCATTGCCCCGGACACTGGAAATCGTGTGCCCTGGCCTCTGCCCCCACCCTGCCCCCCCCAGCGTGGGGGGAAGCTGGCCCCGGCCCTGCCCCTCCCAGAGCAGCTGCCCCAGGGCCAAGCTGACAGCCAGGGCCCGGTGCCATGCCAGGGCACTGGGCAGGGCAGAGATGGCACCCGGGTGCCAGCTGAGGGGGACACAGCAAAGGGACAGCCAGGGCTCTAGGGCAGGGGAGCTTCCCCCGAGCCTGGCCCCCTCACGCCTGCCCCAGGGGTTGGTGCTGACTCACCCGGGGCTCCCCAGTGCCAGAGCTGGGGCCAGGCCCCCCCCCAGGGCTCCCCCCACCCCCCCGCACTCACCAGCCTGTCCCTGCGGCCGAGCTCCAGGATCTCCACTTCCTCCAGGGGCCGCGGGGGGCGCACGCGGGGCAGGCTCAGCTGCTGGGGCTGGAAGGGCGGCACGACCGGCTTTGCCAGGCTGGGGCGCTGCGCCAGGGCCTTGGCTCGCCTGAGAGAGAGGGGAGTTACCAGGCCAGCTGTCCCCCATGAGCACCAGGAACCTCATCCCCCCCACAGGCCCAGGCCAGAGACCCCAGCCACCGCCAGGGCCCTCCCAGCACCGAGCGGGGCCCCGCGGGGTTTGCACTGCCCTTCCCAGCCCCACTGCTGTCTATGGGGCCCCCCATAGCACCCACCCACCCCAGGGTCATGGGAAGAGGGTGGGCCCCAGCCCAGAGGCTGGCACCCTCAGGCAGGACAAGCCGTGGGGGGTGGGGGGAGGGCTTCCGGCCTAGCAGCCCTAGGGCGAGGTGGGGAGGGCAGGGGAATGTGCCCCAGCCTGTGGCTCCGGAGCAACGGTGCCAGTCACTCCGAAGTGCCAGGTAGCGGCTGGCTGGGTGCCAGGGCCCTGCACCCCACAGGAACACTGCCCCCCCCACGTGCCCTGTCCCCCATTGCCCTGCACACCCCACATGCACTGCCCCCCCCATCATCCTGCCCAATCACCCCCTAAGGACAGCCCCCAAGTACCCCCCAGCCCCCCACAACTCCCACACCCCCATGCACTGCCCAAGTCTCCTCCCCACCCCCATGCTCTGAGCAAGGTGGCAGGGGGAGGGAAACACCCTCACCCCTGGCCAGGAGTCAGGCTGCGCCTTGGCCTGGTGCCCTCTAGTGGGTGCCCCACACCAGAGCCAGCAGCTCTGCCAGCGCCCCTCACTCCTGACCCGCAGCCCATATCCCAGCCCCAGGCTCTCCCCTTGTCCCGTCCCACCCCCCACCCCCGCCCAGCTCTGATAGTGCCCCTCACTCCCGACCCGCAGCCCCGGTGTGACGAACTGGGACTGTTCTTACTGTGGTCTGTGAATGCTGACAGGGGAGTGTGGCTGGGATGGTCTGCATCGGGGGATGGGAGACTGACCGATGGAGAATACCTGAGCATGTAACATGAGAACCCAGGAGGGGGCTGGGGCCAGGTGACACCTCTGCCCGGGAAACTGAACAAAGGCTGTGGGAGGGGTCGCTGAAGGCAGAGTCTCGGAAGCTGGCTAGTGACCAGGGCTGGGAGGCAGACAGGGCTCTGATCCCCCAAGGGGGCTGGGGTGCCCGGGGACCCCAAGATGGACCTAACTGGGGGGGGGTCCTGTTGTCTGTGCCTGCAAGACCTGTCTTGGGCCATGTTCCTGTCGTCTAAATAAACCTTCTGCTTTACTGGCTGGCTGAGAGTCATGGTGAATCGCAGGACGCCGGGGGTGCAGGGCCCTGAGTCCCCCCACACTCCGTGACACCCAGCTCCCCTCGCCCTGGGTGGGGAGGGAGGGGCACCTGGCTCCCCCTGCGTCAGGGGGTGTTTGCATGGCAGCCGCCTTACCCCAGGAGCAGCAGCACCGTGAGCAGCAGCAGGATGCCCCCAGCGCAGGACACCCCGACCAGCGCCAGCAGGAAGGCTGTGGGGAGAGAGCCATCAGCAGAGCTGGCAGGGCCAGCGCCCGCCGTGGGGCTGCCCCCCAGCACCACGCGCTGCCCTGGGCCGAGGCCCTGGCACAGCCCCCCCCCCGCCCCAGCTGCCGTCCCAGGGTCCTGCCAGCTGGGATCAAAGCCACATCCTCCCCCAAACCTCCCAGCTGCTGCCCTGGGGCTCCGGCCCTAGGACTGCTGCTGTGGGGGGACTGGCCAGGCTGAGCAGCCCCAGCCCCACACGGGCCCCGCCCCAGACGGACACTCACGCTCCTCACACTGGAAGCCACCAAAGCCAAACGGGCACCTGCAGAGACCGAGACCAGGGTTCAGTGCGTGTCCCGGCAGCAAACCCTGCCCAGCCTCACCCGCCCTCCGCCCCCCCCAGCCCCATAGGCCAGGCTGCCTGCCAGGGGGCTCCCCAACCCAGGGGTAACCCCCCCACTCCCCACGTATACAGGGAGTGTCTGCAAAGCCCGTGCGGCTCCAGCCTCTAGGCCACCTGCCCCTGCCACGCAGGCAGCCGCCGGCAGAGCCATGGGGGATCTGAGTCCCCGGGGTGGTACCGGGTCCCCCTGATGAGGGGCTCAGCCGGGAGCCGATGCCCCCAGCTGCAAGGCACCAACCAACACACAGTGGCTGCTCCCAGGGCGTGGGCGCTGCCCTGGCCATGAGCAGCCTCCCACGGGACGCCAGGGCTCACCTGGTGCAGACGCCATCCCGCAGCCAGAACCCGCTGCCACAGGCTGCAGGGGGAGAGAGACAGTGAGATGCCCACAGGCTGGGCAAGGCCCTGGCTGCTTTCCAGACACAGCTGGGGACAGCCTGGCACAGGGACCGAGACCGCAGCGCAGCACCCCCGCCTGTGCCCCCCCCCCCCCCCCCAGCCTGGCACGGGGACCGAGACCGCACCCCCCGCCCGTGCCCCATCCCCCCAGCCTGGCACGGGGACCGAGACCACAGCCCCCGCCTGTGCCCCATCCCCCCAGCCTGGCACAGGGACACCGGCTGGGCGTGTGGCTGCCTGGGTCAATGGGGCTCCGTTCTGGGGGCAGCCTGGCTCACGCTGCGCCTCCCGTAGCAGGTCGGCCTGGAGCCGCTGGGCCTGGGCAGGGAAGCTGCGGTCGTGGGAGAGTTTCCCGCGTGCCAAGCTCTGGAAGCTGCTCCCTGCCCAGCCCCTGGCACCCCGGCCCTCAGCAGGGGGTTGGGCCCCTGGGGAGGTGCGGGGGGGGAAGCGCCACTTTCCCACCCTGCTGAAAGCCTTCCCCTCCCCCACCCAGCCCCTTCCACCCCACAGCCAGCCCCATGGAGCCCCCTGCCTGACCTGCGCAGGCACGGCCCATGGCGGCAACGGGGCGGTATCCCAGCCGGCAGGGGCACTGGGCCAGCCCGTCCTGGAACACGCAGGATGTCGAGATGGGGTCGCAGGGCTGCAGCTCACAGAGACTCAGGCCTGGGGGGCGGGGGGGGGAGGAGAACACAGCCTGGTCAGAGTCCCCCCCCCCAGAGCCACCTCCCAGCCACCCCCAGAGCCACCTCCCACCCATGCCCAGCCTGAGACCCCACCCCCAAACCTGGCCTGAGCCCCTCCAGAGACACCCTGCCCAGCTCCATACCAGCTATCCCCAGCCCAGTCAGTCTGCCATAAAGTGGGGAATTTTCTTGAGGCTTTGTATGAGAGCTGTGTGCCTCAGTTTCCCTCTGTGCTGCGTGTATAAGGAGGAGGTGGGAGGGGGGTTTGCTGTTGCAGGGGACCAGGTGTGACCTCAAA